AAAAAAAAAAAAAAAAGAATAAAAATAGTCTTTTACCTCAGGGACCCCAGGTGTCAAAATATAAGACAGTAATTTCAGAATTACTGTTCTAGATCACTTAGCTTAATTTTCTCAGATATCAGACGTTTTTCTTTGTATTTATTTTATGGGGTTTTTTGTTTTGTTTTTGTTTTCTCGTTTTTGTTTTTTTTTTCCGAGACGGAGTCTCTTTCTGTCACCCAGGCTGGAGTGCAGTGGTGCAATCTCACTGCATCTTCTACCTCCCAGGTTCAAGTGATTCTCCTGCCTCAGCCTCTCAAGTAGCTGGGATTATAGGCATGCACCACCACACCCAGCTAATTTTTTGTATTTTTAGTAGAGATGGGGTTTTGCCATGGTGGCCAGGCTGGTCTCGAACTCCTGAGCTCAAATGATCCGCCGGTCTTGGCTTCCCAAAGTGCTGGGATTAAAGGCATGAGCCACCGGGCCCAGCCCTCAGTTGTTTTTTAAATAAATCATAACCATTTAAATAAATAGAACCTGCGTAAAGAGGTTTGGGAATAGGCACAGCTGGCTGTTGGCATGGAAACCTTCAATGGTGACAGCAGGTGGTGGGGTAGGAGGGGAGGTTGGCCACCTGGTGAGGGGCCTGTTGGCTGCAGGGAGGGACTGGAGACCCGGGGGCCTTGAGCAGTCCAGTGGCGGTCAGCTAAGAGAGCTGCTAAGTACCGTCTCCATTCCCGAGATGCTTGTGAAATGTGTGAGGAGCTGTGCACGTGTGGAAAGTCAGATGCAGGATGGCCTTCCTGAAGTTGCAGCAAGTGGAACAGAGGAGAGGTTACTTGGTGAGGCCAGAGGAGGGAGTGGCAGGAGCTGACAGAGAAGGCTTCCTGGGGAGGGATGGAGCCACATCTTGAAAGCTAGGAAGGGGGAGAGAGAGCAGGATCCTGGTAAGGAGAACCGTGTGAATGCGTGAATGCCGGTGGGATGGTGCACGTGGCCCAGGGTTGCTGATAAGAGGGAGCATCAGGTGAGGTGGCTGGAAATGTACGTTGGGTCTAGGAGTCTTGAATGGCTCACGGGTCTAAGGTACGAGTGTTCTCTTGGAACTCAGAGCTGTTTCCATATCAGAGACTTGCCAACAGCCCTCTGTCTTGGGGTGCAGCCTGCCAGCCTGCTCTTTTTTTTTTTTTTTTTTTTTTTTTTGAGACAGGGTCTCACTCTGTTGCCCAGGCTGGAGTGCAGTGGTACGATCTCAGTTCCCTGAAACCTCCCCTCCTGAGCTCAAGCAATTCTCCCACCTCAGCCTCCCAGGTAGCTGGGACTCCAGG